ATATCTAAACTCTGAGAGCAAGTAAGTGCAAGACACACACACACACACACACACACACACACACACACACAGTGGCACAGACAGGAACTCACGTATGTGCCCAGTGATTTATGGTAGTGAATGTCACAGACATAAATCTTAGCAGTCGCACATCCCTCACTACAATCCCTATTTATGTTACTTGGTGGGTTATGGAAAGGAAGTGAAAGTAATCTGGTTCTGCTGTGTGCACGCACCACAGTGTGTGTGTGTGTGTGTGTGTTCATGTGGGTAGGTCAGTGTGCATGCCTGGAAACACACACTGAACCGTTCTGGTTTTTATTGTCAATAAATGTCCTTTTCTGAACAAAGTTGTAACTGAGCATCTTTTATTTAGTGCCAGCTTCAAACTGGCTTTGGACGCTCTGCCTCAGTTACACAGTGGAGCCGATAAGAAGTAAGTCTCACACTGGTCCGTGTTACTAATAAAAGACTTTTTGGAATTTGTTTCATGATTTAAAGATAAATTTTTCTAATGATTCATGTGTGTTTTTATCTTGTGTGCCAGGTTACTGGAAGAGCTGCTGAACAAGTTTAAGAGCAGCATGCAGCTGCAGCTGACCTGCTTCCAGCCCTCCTCCATCCAGCCTGTGAAGAGATAAACTCAGTCCACTCTCTATACCACTGTGCTGTCTTTGTTTCTTATCTATGCAGAATCGTCTAATGAACTTTAACAGTATCTTTTCTGTTATCTCTTTGTTTACTCATGACTTTTCAGTGTCACTTTCAATTTCTGCCTCACTAGATAAGATATAAATGTCTGTTCATCTAATCTTGAAGACACTAAATGACTTGATTTCATTGTTACTGTGCAGGACAGTCCCAGTTACGTTGGTTATGCTAATGAATTATGGCCGAACCTAACAGGCACTGTGTAAGTGGCTAACCTGCTTGTTTCAGCAGTGGGATGTGTCTTGTAACCAAACTGGAGTCTCCACTGTCTGAGCTCAGAGTGACATATCTGTCCTGATCACTTGGAGAATGTGCTGAAGATTTAAAAGTTGCTGTTGACGCTCTGTACCGTGCCATTTCAGTTGCCCAATAAAGTGATACTACCAGTTAAAAGTGATACATCCAAATCAGATTTGACTTCTTGTTTCTGAGCTTTTGACATATCACACGACATCAACAGATGATGCTTAAACTTTCCATTATTCTGAGCTGTTTTCAGGTGTCTGAGGCTTAAAAGTTGAGCTTGATCATTCTTTATTTAGCATAATGAAGTTTGATGAAATTGAAGTTAGTTCAAATTGCTACTTCACTTACAGTAGCACTTCAGTTAGGGCTGAAAAACAATGTGTCATGATGTTTTTCTTTATTTTCGAGGTTAACTTTGCGAGCTCCCTCAGCCAAGGCCACACAATCCTCATAAGTATCCACATCTTGTTATCATGTTATTATTGATAACGTGATTACACCGGTAGGATTTATGTGTATAAACTCCTTCTTTCTCCTCCTCAACCCAACCAGTCGAGTCTGTTTCGGTTGGAGGTTTCTTCCTCCACAGTGCTGCTCATTGTGGGAACTGTTGGGTTTCTGTCAGTAATATCGTGTGGTCTTGGCCTTACCCTGTAAAGTGCCTTGGTGTTATGTATGTTAAGAAGTGATCACAGTCTGTACTTTCCAACGAATTTCACTCAAATCTGATACATTTTACTTCGATTTTGTGAACTAACCAACAGACAACATGGTTCTCCTTGGTTCTCTCTTTAAGTTGTTGTGACACAATTAAATTGGTGCTTTTATTGCAGTGCAGCCTGTTTTGTGCACGGAGGACAAAAATAGGCCTATATTATGAAGGACTGAGATAAAAATGCAAATTATTAACAGTGTACTATGGTTTGTGGCATTGCCTAAAATTTTGCAAATCCAAACTTAGCATCTCTGATAGCGATGCTAATTTAACGCTGTACAATGCTCAGAGTTTAATACTGTGATTTGTGGTATTGCTTCATGTGATAAATCGTTTTATTACAAATACCTAAAAAAGAAAAAAAAACGCAAAAACCTCTCAGGTCATCATGGCAAAGTAAAGTTAAACCTGCACATAGCAACAATACAGACACAATCCAGGTCCCTGCGGGACCAATGTGAACTACACTTATATGTCCAGAGCCTCTATGAACATACAGAGGTTCTTCACATTGTTTCAAAAATGATCATGAAATCTCTGCAGTGCTGTTGTACTGAACTGTTAGATTGTGTTAATGTGACCCACCCTGTTGAATATCTGCAAATAACTTCTCTGCAGATCCATGTCTCTCACTCAAATGAACCATTTTTGCATCAGTGCACATTTGCATACAGTTGGTTTGGTTTGCACCATGGTTTAAACCAGCGGCTTTACCCATTCATCTCTGGAGCTCCAGCTCATGCTGTCTGGCATGTCAGCGTCTAGCTCTGTGGGAGGAGAGTGAGCACAGGGTGTGTGCAGGGTGTGGACGCTGCGGGCCGTTACTCGGGGCAGCTAACAGAAGACTGAATCCAAGAGGAAGACGTGACACACAAAAGAAAAACGTGTCATTATGGTTGTGGGTGTAGGGACTTACAGAATGAACGCTACGGTTATGGTAGATCTAGTCACTCGGGGAGAGGAGACAGACTGTGACACGCCCACAGCTCACATGAGAAGGTTTGAGAAGACGAGGGGTTAACTGAGGACAGTGTGGACGTGCTGTTGTATTGTAGCAGGATCTAGATCAGTTATCTTCTGGCTACAACTTTCTGTTATTATCTACACTCACACATTTTCTCTTGTCTTGGTTTCCCATCTACATGTAGGGGAAAGCCGTGCAGGGCTGGCAGGAGTTGTTTTGATTCTCTGTGTTCTAAACTTAGCTCTGTCCTCCCACGGATTCATTCACAAAACAGGTTCAAAGCCAAAAACCTTATCCGTTCTCCACCAGCTCTCTGTTTACAGTAACAGTGGTGAGAATGGGGGAGTTTTTTTGTTGTTTTTTTATTTTTATTCACCAGTACTCTGTTCCATTCAGGAGACAAGATGACAAAACTTACACAAACATAACAACTTTGATCTAAGTTTTCTTCACCGTGAGTGGAGAAATTTGACACATCAGAGGAAATTCGACTGAACTCACCCTGATTGTAGAGACAGAGTAACAGATGATGTCGTGCAGCTGGATTTGTAAAAACACAGAAAGATTAGTCAGAAACATACACAGATTTTACATAGGAAACGTGGCATTTGACAGGGCCACCCGGTATATCAGACACTTGAAGGGTTTGTGACACTTTAACCCCCATATACAGCCTTTTTAAGCACATTTAATTGTGAATTTAAAATAATACTAACACACTATAATGGAGTGGTAAGCGTCTAAAAGAATATTTATAAGCGTTTATTAATGTACAGTAACCTCTCCTATGAACACTTATTTTACAGTATTACAGCTGTAGTTTATTCATCTGTTTGTGCATTGTGTGTCCACAGGAAGAGTTCTGCCTCAAAAACTCAATTCCTCCCTTTTTGAAATGTACGAAAACAATGTTTTCTCTCAAGGTGACAGGTGACATTACCTGCTCTAGAAAAACTGCAAGGTGTTTGATAATGTTCTGCCAAAATATGTGGCATGTTTTTTACTTTAAAGTTAACAGGTTTTTTTTTTTTGTTTTTTTTAAATAACAGTGATCCACAGGCATCACAGTAACTTTTAAACTACATTAGTTGAAGCTTCGATAAACTGAAACTGACAGTATGTGTTTTCACATGAGTCCAAATGGCCTCTGAAATACTTGGCAGAAAATGTATTATCTTGAACTCTTTAAGAATAAGTTCAGTGATATTTTTGTATTTTTTTAAATTATCAAGAAATTCCACAAGAAAACAGACCAAAGCCAACAATTTGTTAGTCCACGTCTCAATTTCCTACCCTGTCTGAGGAACTCACCTCCAAAACTTCATCTTTCTTAACAAAGACGTAGGTGTCAAAATGGCTTTCAAATATATAATTGGGTGTTTTATAAAGGTTCAGTAATTTCCTAAAACAAATGGCCACTGTAATTTTTCCGAAACGTTACTCAAACAGAAAATAATGATGCAATTTTTAGGGCCTATTTTCAGTGGTGGATGAATCCACATTTGCTGCTCTAGGGAATATTTCTGGCAGCAGGACAGAGAATATGGAACGGGCGAAGGAACATCACTCGGTGTGACAGTGTGACTCACTGTTGTGTTTTTGGACAACAATGGAGCTTAATAAGACACGCCAGACTCTGGATAGAAACACAATACAAATCAATTCATTGTTGGTTTTGGTCTTGTTTTGGTATTAAAAAAAAACAATATTTGCTCAGTTTTATCAAGTGTGCAGTTGCTGTAAAATTAGTGAATGTCATCAGTTTTGATGATAATCAGTTGTTGAAGTCATCCTGCAAAGATATGCAACAAACGTTCAGTTTAAAATGTGTTTTTGCTGTTTATTGTTTTATCGTAATAAATAAAATAAATATCTGAGTTTCTGTGATGTCACCTTGGGCCCTATGGACTTCATAAAATCTATAATCAACACTTTAATCAATAGTGAAGATCATCATGTTTGATGTTGACAACATGTTAGATGTGATAAGGTTCATATTAAACTGGAGCCTGGTGGAAAGGCAGCATGCATGATGACATCGTCCTCACCTCTTCTTGTAAATTATTTCACGGCGGTGACAAATATATTTAAGGGGTTTTTTTTTTCTGATTGTTTTCCATGGAAGTGGAAACGAGACTGTAATCTCTGAGCAGAAGTCAGGAAGGCTTTCTCTTCTGCGCAGCGCGGAAAGCGTGGCCAACCTCATCCTTTCTCTCCTCCCCTCGTGATGTCATCACATTGTTTGTGATAACGAAGTGTTTGATTAACCGACCTCATCCTGCATCGGAACCACACTTCCTGTTCAGATACTCACACACAGCACTGACGTTACACACTTATGAACAGAGGTTGTCACTCTTTTTTTGTTTTACACTTAAGCCATTTATTGTTTTGTCAGAACAGAAATGTGCGTTTTCAAGGTAAAAAAGCTCCAAACATTCACTTCAGCTCTGTCTCAGATCTCATGTATGACACTTATACTTAGCAATGTATCATGGGACTAGAACTATATCCTAGAAAATTGAGTTGAAAAAGCTTATCTAACATCATCTCCCTGAGAGGTTCTCTCATAAACACGGCCAGGCATAAGACTTCATTCATAATTTAATAAATGCTGATAGTGTCTCCTAGCAACAGAAAAATCTAAAATATTTACAAGTAAAATGTAAAATTATTCTTAAAGGAATAATTCTGCATTTTAGAAAACATGCTTGGCTCACTTTCTTAAGGAGAGAGGTTAGATGAGAAGTTTGATACCACCAATGTTTAAGTATGAAGCTATAGCTAATAGCTCGCAGCCTGTTAGCTTATCTTAGCATAAAGACAGGAAACAGGGGGAAACAGCTGGACTGGCTCCGTCCACAGGTGAAAAAAATCTTCTTCCCTGTACTTTTAAGTTCAGTAATTAACATGATACTTCGTCAGGGTTTGCCGCAGATTAAACAGACTGTAAAAACAACTATGAGGTGCTTCACGAGGGCGGTATGGTGCCAAAAAAGAAATAGTCCCAAACAAAACCCATTGTAAAACATGGGACTGTTGTTTTTTACGTGTCGTTTTTACGTGTATAAATTTATGAGCTTCGGAGGTGATGATACATGTATTTTATTACCTCTGGACGGAGTCATGCTAGCGGTTTCCCCCCGTCTCCAGTCTTCATGCTAAGCTAAGCTAAGCTAAGCTAAGCTAAACAGCAGCTGGCTGCAGCCATATATATAATGGTTGTGTGTGAGAGTTAGATCAATCTTCTCGTCAAACTCTCAGCAAGAAAGTGAAAAAGCATGCTTCCCAAAATGTCTAACTATTTATTTAAGGCACAAAAAATGTAACTTAGTTTTCTATTGTACAATCACCTAAGCTGTCAGTTTTGTTTGCATAGTAAGTCTGGAAAATATTGATGATCCCCTAAATATACAGTGAGGAAAAAAACAGTTACACTGCAGATTTGTTTTCAGCCACACACACACACACACACACATACTGACAAACACACACCGGACCGTACCAGGCAAACACTAACTGTCACTACATGTCCATCGTTTTATGTTTAACACTGTCCCAAAGTTTTGTCCCCTTGTCTCAGAGTTTCCTTGTCGCCCGTGTGAAAGGTTGTTGCTGCATTTTGAAGTTTTCAACAGTCACTTGAACCTGCATGGTTCACTCCTGCAGGCTGCTGCTGTGGTGGTGTGTGATGGCCCTCTGGTAGTCCTCCGAGGGGTTTATGTGTTCCGGGTGATCGTAGCTGCGGTAGAAGGAGCTGCCCGCCTGCTGGGCGTAGAACAGGAACTGCCTGGCAAACAGCGGCTCCACCTGTAGCACAGCGGGTCAGACAGGTGAGTGGAAGGCTTTAAACTGGCACCATAGCTACTGTAGTTTCTATGAGCTCAAATCAGCATCAAACTAATATTTGAAAGCCTATAAAGAAAATTTAAAGTCTGGTTTGAGTGAAGTGAAAAATGGGATTTGAAAGTGTAACATAACAACTGAAAGTCTGTAGCAATGTTTCATAAGTTTAAATGCATGTTCGGTGAAACAAATCTTTACTGAAAGGTCCTTTTACATGCTTTTTCAAGACCTTTCCACTTTAAGTCATGGTCTTCGTCCTGGATGAAGTTTGCTCACTTATCGTGGAGAGTACAGAACTGTTAAACTTTGGTCATGTGATAGCAGGTACGTGTTATCGAGGGCGGATGAACAAACTCCAATCATTGACGGTGATTGTGAGATGTGGTTGAAAGCTCCTTATATTGTTTTCAAGGCATTGGGGTTTTTTTGTTCTCATTTTAGATCCTGCAGAGATTCAACACTTTGTTTTCAACACTTTGTTATCCACTTTGTTTCAGTGGATAAAATCTGCTCTTTGAGCTTTTCAAAAGTGGATAGATCTGAAATGTACGGAGGACAGACTGATGGTGTACTTTAACAAAATGCGACTGTACTAATGGACTAACAATAACTGGCTGAATAATACCTCAGCCCTCTGGATAACTGACTCACACTGATCTGGCGCTGGAAAAAAAAAACAAAAAAACAACCAATTCAAACTGAACTTTCAGCAAAGAAGTGTCGAAAGTTCTCCACAAAAATGGCATTGGTCAACCTACAGACAAAACAACTCTTAAATCAGCATTTCAATAGTCTGCTGATTATTTTCTTGATTAATCTGTCATTTTTTTAGGCCATAAAATAATACACCATAGTGAAAAATGCCCATCACACCCTGGCCAACAATCCAGAACCCAAACATATTAAGTTTACTATCAAACAAGACAAAGAAAAGCAGTAAATCTGATGATGCAGAGGCTGAAATGAGGAGAATGTTTGGTATTTTCACTGCAGATCAGCTAATTGATTAATCGACTAATATTTTCAATTCTAATTCTTCAACTGACATGAAAAATAACAGCTTCCTACAATTGTTACTGCAGCTTTTGTGTCGACTGAAGATGATGAAAGTTGGACGAATACATTAACTCTCTACTGACCAGTTAGAATAACAACCCGAAACAGAAATCAGCAATGTCAGACTGAGGAATGAAGTAAAAACAAAGACCTGACTGATAAAGGCTGGTGTATAATTGCTTAAGCCTCCAATTTTTGGGTTTGTTTGATTTTTTCTGTTCAGATTTTCCCAGGTCGACAAACGTTACCAAAAGTCCCATTATCTGAAGCTGAAATAGCAGATGTGATTCTTTCAAAGGGATGTGTTAAATTAGCCTGACAATCAGACGAACTGACTTCCTCCTTCATTTTCACTCTAAATCACTGAAAAAAATCAACAGTGAGCAGTGATTCAGAGGTCTGGCAGTGGCTCAGCGCTGAACATTATGAGTATGAAGAAGTTCTAACAGACTTTCAAATCTTAGGTTTTTATTTTCAAATCCCATTTTTCACTTTTCAAACTATACTTTAAAGTTTCAGGACTTTACATCCAAACATTTAGTTTTGATTTTATGAAGCATGACACTGATTTGACCTCGCACCCTCGGTTATGTTTCAGTGAGCTCATGTTGGAGGTTATTATGATCAGATATGAGGTATAATAGGGAGGTAGATGCTTGTATTAGAGCACGGGGAGTCACCTGGACAGTGAGGGTCCGTCTTTGTCTCTGTGGGTCCAGGCACTCGTCTCCGAAACTCAGCAGGACCTGGAAACGAGGCAGGGGCCGACCGTGGAGCCCGTAACTCTGGATCTCTGGTTGTCGGGAAACAGAAGGGAGGGCACTGCTATTAGCTTTGATAGGTGAAATACAAGTGAAGTGGCAGATTCAAATGATTTCAGAAGAAATTCACTTGAAGAGGTGTGACCTTTTGGGGTGATTCGAACGGAAAGTCCTGGTCACACCGTGTATGCAAATACAATTAGCTGTCAGACTCACACAGCTGGGGTTGTCTTAGCATGTGGGTGGGTGGAGATGAATGATGTGGCTGTGTAGAAGTCACGTGACTCTATCCTCATGAAGGATTTCTACTTGAAAGGGTTTTTCTTTTCTACCACAGTTGTTAAGTAATGTTGATTTTTAGGGGGTTTGTTTCTGTGTAGTAATGTTTTGAGATGGAACTCATCCCAAGCGACTTCCAGTAACTGAGCTGGACTTTTTCAGACACAGAGATGAACATGAATCTGATTCGTGAAGACTTCAAGTCTTCACTGATTACTTACTGTTAGCTCCGCCCTTGTTTGTGCCTCTCTTAGATGACCATTGCATTTAAGTGACGGAGCTAAGCATCCCATGTTTCCGATAAATACATTCAGTGCAGTCTTTGACAAACCGAGAAGGTCGATCAATAACACTCCCCCTGTTCTGAAGGTTTTTCCAGATTCATCAAAGATTGGTCCGACTATCTGAAGTGTGACGGCCCTTAGGCCTCTGGACCAGCTTCCTGGTTGTTGGGATCTGGGGAGTGGCTCATTGAGAGTGATGGCTGACACCTTGTGACTGCTCACATATATATATATATATATATATATATATATACACAGTATATAGGTGAGCAGTCAGTCTCTCTCTTCCCTTTAGTTACTTGGTTTGGTTGGACATTTGGTTGATATATTTTTGGTTTTCTTACACTCACACATGTTCACACATCTGCCCACTACACCATAATGTATTTTTACCTCAAAGAGTCAGGTGTGGTCCCCACCTGACTCTTTTCCTAACAGAGGTAGTTCCCAGAAATCACACATCTCCATCCTCAAGTTGTGAAAAATGTAGAAAAATACAGAATAACCTTCATGTCTTGCTTGTGTTCTACTAATAGAGCAAATTTCCAGCCATGGTTGACACGTTGAAAACAAGTTAAAAAATCTTGTTTAAGGTGCAACGTATGGAATATTTTTTCATCCAGGTGGTCAGACGAGTCTTCGACCTTCAAAAACTTTGGGTTTCCCAAAGATTGCCAGATTCTTAGCTCTGTGACTCAGATGTAATGATAATACATGAGAGGCACAAACCATAGAATACAACTTCTCAGTGTGGTAATCTGTTCTAATGCTTGATTAATCAGTTGTATTACTGGATATCGAACCTTTTTTAGTGCTGACTGAAATGTGTCCGTATCAGAAACCGTCAAACACTGGCAGCGAGCATCAAATGTCAGATCAGACTTGGAGATTTGAGTTTATTGTAACGTTTACCATCTCAGAGGTTTGGCCTCTTTTTCGGTATCAAAACTCGGGTATCATATCGGCACTAGTATCGAAAAAATTACTCAGTCCCATGTGATTAACGGAAAAAACGTTGAGTTCTGACTTTTGTGGCTTCAGTGCTGGTTCGTCAAAATTAAACTATGTCGAACAACCATTACTCCTGTCCTGGAGGAGATTTAGTGCAACTAATCCTGAAGAATCAAACTTTTTTGATTCATCAAACTAAAATGCCAAATATTTGGTTCCAGTTCCTTAGATGAGAATATTTATTTCTTTGTGTCTCTTTTTTTTCAAGCTATGTGAAGACTTTACCTCGGGCTTTTAGAAATGGTGATGATAAGTATCATTGAGTATCATTTAATTGAAATGACTCGTTAGCTGCTCTGCTCCTGCTGTCTCACCTGTGAGGTAGTCCTGGGTGTGCAGGAGTTTACAGTTGACCTCTCTCTCCAGCTTGTTGAGCTTGTCTCCATACGGGGACGGCCCCCCCTGCCAGTACACTCTGCTCTGACACATCCTCCGAGCGTAGAGACCATCTGCGCCCATCCACAGGTACACCCCCCTCTCCAGGGTGGACGGGGGACTCGGGGGACACTCCTCTGCCCTCCTCTGGCCCGAGAGGCTGTCCACAGGCAGGGGGACCACGTCGGGACCTCCGGTCGGCAGGTAGTGCTTCTCTGGGGGGCACGGAGTGATGTGGCACCCCTCCGGACTGGAAGTGGTCACCTCCTTCACCAGACTGTCCCGGAAATATACAGAGACGTGCAGGCGGAAGTCTGGATGGAGGTGGGGACACAGGCGGAGGTGAAACAACATGTTTTCACCACATTTTGATGCATGAATCTTTTCATCATGTTTCTCAGTGTAGTGAAATGTCTTTATCAATTTCTCCAAAATATGACAATCAGACAGTCAGGTTCATGATTTTAGTTTGCATCACATTATATAAGAAATCTTTGTAGTGTGACAGTTATCTTGTAAATCCAAAGTGATTTTAACTAATGACTTCAGTGTTTACCAAACTACAAGTTTGGACAAAGGTTGTTCTCGTGTGTGTTTATTTCTAGTTCTACTAACTATTTGAAGTGTTGATCCATAAGAAGAGATATTTGTGGTTTTAAGTACAAGAAATCATCTTAATGTAGTTTTACATCTCCTCTCTCAGGCTTCTCTCTGGAGCTCTAGTAACAACAGGTCGGTGAGCCAATCAGAAGAGAGGAGGCTCTGAGCCTCTCTTCTGATTGGCTGACTGTTTTCTGAGTGATCCAATAAAAAATAAAGCAGCTCTCAGGTAAACATTCAGAAAAACCAAATCCAGCAAGGTTGGATGGTGGGTCCAGGTGGGCGGGGCTTGTGGCATGGCTGAGAGTGGTGACTGCTTTGTTGTGACATCACAATGTTACAGAAGTCCTGACGGCTGGTTTTAAGGCTCAGTTTCTGAATACAGGCTGTGTTGCATTTCTCTGTGGACTGAGGCTTTGATACTTTCACAGTATTAATATAGAACCTAGACCAGTACCAAGAGCTTCTGTTAGCTCTTGAACTATTTAAAGGAGCGATGATCTGAGTTAGAAGTAGCAAACTTATTTTATTTGCATATTCTCTGTAAAATGTGTCGTTCTATGGGCCGTAAAAGCAAACAGGTAAACACTAGACTAGACTGTGTGTTTGAAGTTATTTTTTGGCCAATTTTGGCTCTTTTATTATGACAGTGACAGTGAGAGAGAGAGAGAGAAACAGGAAAGGTAGGGGACGACATGCAGCAAAGGGCCTGAGGTGGATTGGAACCCAGGCTGCTGCAGTAAGGACTGATGCGCTCTACAAGGGGAGCCACCGGCGCACCACTAGACTGTGTTAATGGTTATATGCAGCTAGTGCTGACTGGACCCATTGTGTTGGGGCTTGGACGTTCTGTTTGTGAGGTTAGCAGGATCTGTGTAGTAAGTTTTGTGTTGGCTTCATTTCAAACTACGAAATAAACTTTAAATTAAATTTTAATTATAGCACCTCCAGCAGCGAAGTCAGTATTTTGAATTGCTAGAGGGCACTTTTAAAATATGCCATTTAAGGTGAAACAGCCATGTTATCACCAAAAATGTTTGAAGCACTACTGGAGCCTCCATCAGGCTCACCATTGTTTTTCCTGGACGCCAGCGCACAGTGCCGTCCGTCCAGGTTTCATTAAAGCTGCATTAATTCATTTCTGTCCAACAGGGGGCAGTAAATAATCAAATCTAGCTGAAAGATGCGAACACACAGCCACCACTTGAACCAGGCTTAAATATCTGGCTCTTCAGCTGCTAAATGTTCTCTCTCTCCACCAGCTGGTCTCTGACTTTGTCTACTGAGCAAGTAGTGGATCAGTGGGCATATTGAAACACCGGCCTACAGGGGCTGATACGAACCACACAGTAAATGTAAGAGTTAAAAAATATTCACGGTACTTTAATCACAGCGCCCCTATTAGGCCAATCTGTGTCATTTTAAATATTTAGCATTAGCATCCCCCTTCCATGTTTTCCCAATATCAGAGCATCAGACTTTTTAAAGATGTCTGCATGAATAAAGACTAAAACGAGCCTGTTTACAGTAATTTAGGTGTCTGCATCTGAACTATGTCTTTTTATATGGCCACAAACAAAGCCCAGTCTTGTACATGTGGACTCGCTTGCATGTTGCATATTGTAATATTGACATTGTGTAAGGATCTTTTCCACATTGAAATCACCTTTAACCCTGAACCCTTGAAAATAGTGAATTGAAAGTGTTGTTTCATACCTGAGAGAGGCTCTGCTGATCTGATGCTGGCGTCCAGTGTGAAAGGCGGGGGCTGGCTGTCAGGACCGTATGAGTAAATTGAGGCTCTGAGCTGGTATCCTGTCACAAGCAGCAAAACAAAACATGTATGAGCACAATAATAAAAACAAGACAAGGATGCTGATGTTTGTGTTCTGTATGGGTTTTCAGCACCGTACCGTTCTCCATGGACGGGCCCTGCCAGGGCAGGCTGCGGGGGGGACAGGGACACTGGGTGAAGGGTAGGTCCGGCAGAGAGGCCTGCTCCTGACAGTAATCTCTCCAGCCACATTCAGGTGTGGCCATGTACTGAGACATCTACAGACAGACACACACACCATCAGCTCAGCACGAAAACGTCACTGTCCATGTCTGTAAGTATGTTGTAAGTATACTTTTATGCATTTTAATGTATATAGTTGTATAGATGTCAGAGAGGATGCCCATGACCAACTTTGCTCTTATTTAAACTGTATTTGTGGCTGCGTTCAGTGTTATGTCTGAGAATGTGGGAATTTAAATGACGTGAAGAGGAGAAAATATAAAGAAATATATAAAAACAAAATAGTTAATAACAAAAAAAAGGGAGTTTAGTGTATATATAGTGTATAGTATATGACGCAGAATTATATTTCTGTTAATGTGGAGCAGGGTTTAATGCAGCTTTTAGGTTGTTACGTTGTTTAAAAATTAATATATACATATAAAATTAATTATAAATATAATAATGAATACGTTATTTAAAAGAATTTCAAATAGTGTTTTGGTGACTAGTCTAGATTTCCGTAGGTTTTCAGGGTGTAAAATCCTGGCACCAACATACAACACAGATTCATTTTTAACACCATATTGTTATTCGCGCTGAATATTGTCTAAAACTATTAAGTGCATCAGTTGCAGACGCAGTTTTCACAAGTTCCACATCTTGATGATGTTTCTAAAAATTTAAGAAAAACTTTGGGATTCAATGAATGAGCCTGAGGCCTTCAGGTGGTGTCTAGTGTATCCAACATCATTCATGTATGCACTCATCCACTGTCTCTGCTGCACATCCAACCTCTCTCTCTCTCTCTCTCTCCCCACCCCACCCCTCATTTCCATGTGTATGAAAAGCACCTGAGTCTGCAGTGGAGGATAGGAGTGCATTTGATAGCCCATTGGACTCAGAGGGCTGTCCTCCTGCCGGGGTCCTGAATGCAACACAGGAAAGTTCACTTATAAAAACACACACAGAACTCTGCACAGAAAAAGTCCACATCTGTTGACACATCTGTTGGCACTGTGACCTTCAGTGGTGGTTTAGTTGTTTGACTCTACTGCAGTGAGAAGTCAGTGACCTTTACCCCTCACACTCTGACACATTTCCAAACTTATGTGATAAAAGCAGTTCATCATGAAAACAAACTATTAATCATAAATACAGTTCAGAAGTTAAACCACTCAGTCTTTTAACTCCAAAAAGCAGAAGTTTCAGCGCTGAGCTGTTACATGCTTGAGGTGTTAGAGTTACTGACTTTTCTTGGCGCCCTCGGGGATGATGCGGTAGACTTTGTACGGGTCTGAGATGTCCAGCTGACTCCGCTCCACTAGCTCCTCAAAGTCGTTGCTCTTGTTGAGGGCGCAGCGGAGCCGCGTCTTCCAGGTCGGCGGGTCAGGTTTGTCGATCCCCTCCCGAAATTTGCCCTTGAACAGCGCCCAGGCCTGCAGACCAGACCCCGGTTAAAAAAAAAAAACTTAATAAACCTCTCTACCTAAGACCACCAGGTCTGCTCCAGTTTTCATTGCACAGCCTGTGGAGGTGCGTTTTTATGGCAACATCCACATAAGGCGTGAAAAGTTTATTTATAGCCCATAGAAAGCTGAAAATGAGTCGATCAATAATTTGAATTATTTTAATATTTTTAAATGGATAAAATATCAACTGTTTGCAAGCTGTAGCCTCTCACATGTGAAGATTTCCTGGTTTTCCTGCTCTTATGATCACAGCAAACTGAATGTCTTTGGGTTTAAAACCGTTGTATATCAAAGCCAATCATTTTTAAAGAAGCTGTGTTTGGTTCTTGGAGCGTTTCTGGGATTTTTACGTATTTTCTGACATTTTATGAACCAAATGATCGATACTTGATAAAGTATTCTGTTAGTTGTAAGTCCGTTTATATTCCACATTTCATGCACGAAAGCAATGCGAAGTTCATTAAAATAATGAAATAAGACAAAAACTGGTAGAAGTATGATTAATCTGGGTTAAGGAAAGCTTACTTGTTAAAAGGATCATTCAAAATCTCATATTCTGACTTCATATCAATCTTTGTAAGACTTGGAAATTATTTTATTTTCACTTTGTAGACTACTTTTATTCTGAAAGTCACGTTTTTAATTCTATCTGGATGAACTCTGGAGGATGCAGGTTTCTCTTACCTTGAAAAGCGCGGCATCCTCATCCCGGTTGTAGTCCTGTTTCCCGGCGTGTTTCCACGGTATCCTGAAGATGGTCTTCTCGTCGTTCTCCCACACCAGTCCGGGATACTTCCCGCAGTCCACCTGGTCGATGAGCCACTGGCGCAGTTTCCCGTTCCCGCTGCTCCCGGAGCCTCCGTAATCCACTTCAGGGTTCATCTCTGTCCAAACACAAACTCCACGGTCAGGTCCTGTACTGTGTGTTTGTGTGTTTGTTTGTGTGTGTGTGTGTGTGTGTGTGAGAGAGAGAGAGTGTGTGTGTGTGTGTGTGTGAGAGAGAGAGTTTAGCAGAGGATGATGATGATGAGTTTATCCAAGTTCAGTAAAACTCATTAAGGGTTTACCCCCCTCCCTGGTCTCCCACGCAGACTAAACGTGGCCGGGCTCGAAGTGATCTTGGTCTTACCTGTGAAACTCGAAACCGTCAAGTTTTGAAATCAATCAGTCTCAGAAAGCCCTCATCATTACGACGGGCCCGCTTAAATCCTCCAGCCTATAGCGCACAGCAGCGGGGGGGTGGGGGGGCGGAGAGAGGGAGGACGCACCTGCTCTCTCTCTCTCTCTCTCTCTCTCTCTCTCTCTCTCTCTCTCTCTCTCTCTCTCTCTCTCCCTCTCCTGTGAAGCTTATCAGCGCGCCGAGCACTGCTCGATCTCCAGTAAGACACCGGGGGAAACCCTGCTGCCGCTGCCGGTGTAAGTCACAAGTGTCACACACCCGCACATGTGGAAAATCATCGGGACGGAGACAAAAACAATTCTTTGAAATGATAAAGGCTTTACAGAAAATAAGAGTAGAGCTCCGCTGCAAACACATAAACACGAGTTTGTTCCCACTGGAAGATTCAATAGAATAAGTGCTGCTGATACCGCAGACGGACAGTAACAGCAGACAAAAGTTTATTATAAAGTGTGTCATATGAGCAATTATAGGGATATTACATAGAAACAACACAAAGAGCCTTAGAAATACACTATATAGCTATGTAACCTTAATTATTGAACACATTAAATTAGTTTATTTAGAAGTAATTTGTGTTGTATGCTAAGTAGTGCAATATTATTCTACTTTATCATATTATTCATTAGTATTACTTAATTGAGTTTATTATTATATAATTTCATTGTTATTTATTATTTAATATATAATTTGTAGCTAGGTGTCACATTGAAGTTGGTTATTTATAACCCCCTTTAGTGTGGAGCACTTTGGTTCCCACCTGCCATTGTTTGCAGGGGGACAGGTGTGAATGTGACAGTCTGTTAGGATGCACATGTCCTGCTGAAGATATTTGACTTAAAAATACAACTCAAAAAAAATGTAGTGTAAGAAAAATGTAGGTAGTATTCATTCTGCAGCTGACCAGCTCCCGTCAGTGTTACAGTATAAGACATATATTACACTGTTTGATTATCACCACTGATGTGTTCACATCTAAGATGTATTTCACTGTTGTATATGGTGGACATGGAGAATTTTAACATTTTAATACACTGTTGGGTTTAATCTGTAACAATCTATCATATTTTATAAAGTAAATATATGAATTTAATATAAAATCTCCATCTGTAAAGTCATTATCTACCCACTAAATGTACTGAAACACAATGCAGCTTTTCCCTGCACCACTGTAAAGAAGTGAATTTGACACAGTCCTTGATATCCTCGAAAGTTTGTGAATTTAAAATAAAAAACCAAGACCTTGACATTTTTTAAACAGATATTGAACATTTTATTCATATATTTACCTCTTCAGCTCATAATGAAGTCTCTATCTGTGCTGCTCAGGTTACACAACATATTGTTACATATTGTCTGCCGTCACCGTAACACAACACACATTTATTATTATTAGCTTCTGTAAAACCTGATAGTTCTCATTATAAAAATTCTGTATTAACTTTGATATATGTCTCAAACCATGCCGTGTTGGGAATTGGGCCTTGAAATTCCTTGAAAATGAATCCTTGAATGTGATGTTTAAAATGGTTTGGGATCCCTGAGTAGAAGTATAAAATAGTATAAAATGGAGCCACTTGTGTAAACTAAGTGAAACTGTGCTAAAGGATAATAATCAAGTACATTACGTATAAAAAGTAACATGTCACTGTCAGTGCTGTATAATGACATAATAATATTAATGGATCATTACAACTGATGCATTCACATATAATAACATATAATAACATATATAATTAACATAAAAAAGTTTAGGTGGAATTTATTTTAATGGTTTCATATTGTTTTATATTGTATATAGTATATTATATAGTCCTGAGCCCTGTTGAACTGAACTACCAGACTGTATTTATATTTTAAACAAAGTCCTCCTTCAAGCAGCTAGGCATTAATGCATCAGCATTAATAGTCTAATAAGTCTAATAATGTCTGATGTAATAATGATGAATCAATCACAGGGGAAGGGTTTTTTTTGTGTACTTTTATTTTTGAAAATAGGCACCATTTTGCTGATAATATTTCTTTACTTTACTTGAAATCAGCACTTTAAGTATTTTTACATTCTGTTTTTGTTACTTTTAAGTAAAAAAAAATGAATAGGTACAGACATCTTGTAACTGGTTCAAACAAAGACTAAAAGGCTTTTCCCCCCTTTTGTTTGAATCATTTCAAAAGTTGTGAATCCCCTAAATCATCCAGGAAAGATGAGAGGAAAGTCTGAATAATTTTCTTTATAGCAAAAACTGAGTTTGCTTTGTTTCCCTCTCTATTTTTAAATAATTTTGTGCCATTTTTTTTGGGGTCCACATATAAAAATATTCTCATGTTAAGTCATATTTAATTCAAATACAAATTCACATGTGTAAATACGTTTTCCAGGAGCAGACAGATGTGAATCATTAATATTAATATACTTACACAGGCATTTTCTGTGAATCCTGGCTATTGTTGCATTAATTATGTTTCTTTTTAGACTTTAACTACAAACAAATTCCAACACAAAGCCTAAATCTTCTGATTGTGGTTTACTGGAAGATACTTTATTCTTCAGCTTTCACACAGTCTATAGAAAGTAATACTCATATTCCAAGTACAAGACACAGCATAACATAACTGACAGGGGAGTGCACGCTGCTAAATGTGTGTTCACACTGTGGACTGTATGTACATATTTCCTTGGTGTCATGCTTGACTGCCCTTGCATGTTGTTTTGACAGTTAGAGGCGAGGACATGACATGACGAAAGGGACTCAAGATAATGACATAAAAAAATTCCCCCGTCACATGACTGCAAAAAAAAAAAAGAAAAAAAAAAGAGATTCAACACATATCATTACAGAATTATTCTAAGAGACAAATGTTCCCGCTGCTGTTTTTCTCTCTGCAGGATCGATCATGAAATGCCAGAAATCCTCTGAGCTGGTCAGGTCTTAATAGGTTCAGTGGTCCGAGCAGAAGCCCGCAGTCCTCGGCTGCTTCAGGTGAGGTAAGACGAGACTGGCAGGAGACATTTTCTTTCAGGTGCCACTTGTGGCCAAAGCGGGAGCGGTGTTGGTTGATATGGTGCTGCTGCTGCTGCTGCTGCTGCAGTTGGATTTCTGAGTTAAAAGAGCTTTGATCTCCCCCTCATCATTCAACGAGCTCTTCCCGTACCGGTCCTTCCACCAGGCTCGATACTGGAGGGGCAAAACAGAAGTGTCAAAAAAATATCAGAATCAAAGAGATACAGCAAGTCTCCACCTGAGGGATTATCAGTGCTGGTTGTTTTGCTGACACCTGTAGTTCAGTTTGGTTCAAATCAGAGGTTTGTCAGATCATCAGGCGGCATCTGAAACCCCCTACCTCCTTCCAGATCAGCACTTTTCAGATGTCTGAAATTGACACTTTTTGTTACTTTATAAAACTGACAACCACACATACATGCCCACTTTACCCACTGTTGTTTAGCAACATGATGATCGCCTTTGAGGAGATATCGTCCGAAAGTGTGCGACATTATCCCCATTTGAACCATTATTACATCTCGCCCCTCTCTAGGTGGGCTTCCGTCCAAATGTTGCACAAAATTGGAAAAATTAGGCAAAAGAAAACATGAAGTCATACATGTTTCCATCAAGCGGCAACCTCTAGGGCTGAAATGAAGTGCAAAAAACTGCAGTTCTTCAAATGGCCACTAGAGTCTGGCTCCAACAGTGAGGGGGGCGTCACCTTGGAGCCAGTTTTCTCAACACACACATGATGTCTTTAGAGAGCTGCCAAACAAACTGAGGGCTGAGAGGATTCATCACATCACACTGATTCAAGAAAGAAGACAGTCAATAATACGGTCCAACATGCACTGCGCCAAAACCCCAAGAATCTGGAGATGTGCTTTTTAGGTTTTTTGAGTCCCTTTTTCAATATGACATCTTACAGTGCAGTCACCGGAGCATGTCCAGTCCAGATTTCATCATATATGGGGTCATAGTTTGAAATATCTGTGTAACTACATCTCCAGATTCCAGGGTATTTTGCATTTTACAAAGATGGTAACACTGAGTTCTGCCTTCCACATGCACCAACATGCATCTTCTACATCGCATCACATGCAACGTCTTCCTGTGGATATGGACAGAGAAAGACACTGAATGATCAGAGGGATTTTAACCGTGAGGGAGAACGGCGAGGCGTCGCTCACTTCTGCCAGGTCTGTGTTTTCAAACTCCTCCAGCTGCCGCAGGAAGCCCAGGTTGGGCCCCGCACACGGCCTGGCCGCCCTCACCGCCGCCAGAGACTCCACCCAGCCGCAGCCCGTCACCGTCATGATGTAGGCCACCACCAGAGTCACGCTGCGGGACACTCCTGCCACGCTGAGAAGCACAGAGCTTCAAAGCTAGAGAGGCTAGCATGTAGCGATCATCACATACTGTATTGAGAGTCTCTTCTTTAGTGTACAAAGAAGTGAAACCCCTGTTTTCCTAAAGCTGTGGTTGAATGCCTGATTTTGCACGTTTGATATGAGAAAAGATGAAAGATGATGAGATTTACCATGAAAGTATGAACCAAACTGATTATTTGGTTTGGTGGCAGTGATGTGGTTGAAAATGAAAACAGGGTCTAATAAAAATCCGAGGACCTCCGAATACTCATCATTACAAACAAAAATCAGCTGCATTTGAATATTTGAATATCTGTGCCTCTTCCTTTCAGCATCCTCACATGCAAATGACAGCAGTTTCGTTACCATAAACTTTAATTTACGACTTGATTCCATCGTTTTTTTAAATTAAATAATTGGAAGGAGAGAACTGTGCAGTAAATATTTACAAAGAAATATGTCATCTTCCTAAAAAAAAAAAGAAAAAAAAAAGCAAATATCCCTCAAGGAGAATCCTCCCTTGTTTAACCACTTAAACTGAAGGGTAGTTTTAGCAACTGATTCTTATGATGAAGTATATTGATACACAAATAAGGTATTTTTATGATTTATTTTCACTCACCAGTGAACGAGGCAGCCTTCTCCTTTCAGTCGGGACTCGTGGATAAACATGATGCTGTCTCTGAAGTACTGAATCCTACAGGTGTCATCACATTAAACAGGGAATTAAATCATTTATACACTTTAAAGAAAGGCAAGATATGTTGCCCATATATTTAGTATTTTTTTAAGACAGTAGTTCTTTTATTTATTTGATTGATCCAACTTAATATTTTTAATGAGGTTGGTGAGGTATTCAGAAGACATTGTACATTTTATGATTTATTTATAGGTATTAACTTTTTTTTGGTTTACATTAGTCATTCTGTTATGTACAGAATTTAAAGATATGTTAATTTTATACAGATATTTTCACAGTTATTAAACTGTGAAAATCATGATTAGACTCTTGTTGGACTTTTCTCCTTGTATTTCTATTTCTTTACAGTTTCCAAAGGTCATCAGGTGGTAGATATATTAGAAACTAAAAACATATGTGGACCTTAAGTATCATATACTCACAGGTTTTGCTTAGAGTGGTCAGCAGCAGATATACAGAGGTACGTCATCTCCTAGAGGAGGGGAGGGAGGGGGGGGGTTTAGACTCACATGATATACAGTATATATATATATAGTCCCTGTTGAATTACTATTTTACTGCACCACAGTTCAGAGAGGGTCATTTGTTTGAATACTAGGTCTAACTCACTTCCTGTTTCTCGGTGTATGGGGCGGCCCCCTGAAACTTAGCCCCACTGACCCTGCTGCTTAGCACTGGTGTGCTAGGTCATGACATAACGATATTCGCCTGTGTGCGTGGGTGTGTGTGTGTGTGTGTATGTGTGTGTGTGTTTGTGTTTTAGTGCTGTGCACCTGGCAGCTGATGGAACATGCAGTGGACAGAAACTACCTTGTCCCGTTATGACTGCAACTGCTGCAAAAACCCCTGAGCCCTCTGGGACACATCAAGTTCTGGAAGTGCTCCAGACAGGTCAGGCTGCACCCACACGAACCCCAGACAAAGTACTCATGTGCTCACACACACTTTAACACTAATCAACAAACACATACTGAAGAAGCATGTATGCATGTCGGTGACATCGTAATTGTTGTCAGGAAGAGTCAGGATATGCAAACAAATACTGAGAAGTGCTGTTAAATCTTTGCACACTTAAAACTCATTATTACCATGATTTAGTAACATCAAACCCAGATGCATAGAAACAAAGTGCATGCAAGTTGTGGATGAAGTGCACAAATTGTCTTTACTTGCAAAAGAGCACTTGGAGGCTCAGACCACTAAAACTGACCCTGTCGTTTTATTTTGCATTATGTTAATCAGCAAATGGAACATCTGACCTCAGAGATTTGGTGGTTGCAAATTTTTACCTTCCTCTCTCAGGAACCATCAAGCTGTCTTCCAAGAAATCAATCACTCAGCACTTTGACTGTTAGGTATGCAAATAAACCATCCCATCTGGCCATTTGGGCCACACTGGTAAAACAAACCTGAGTCATCATTTTGCCACAGAAGTCTAAAAAAAAAAAAAAAAAAGAAAAGCTGCGTGATGCATTTAAATGTGAGAAGAAGAGGTTAAGATCTGTACAGCGGCCCGGGGTGGATGAGCTCAGAGAAGGTCTGCAGGCCGAGACATAAATTTCAAGCCCAAAACCTTTTAAAAAGTTTTGGTGGTTGACCAGTTTGGGTAGTGATACTGTAATACAAGTTGCTGTTTCTCTTTAGTGTTGCAATGAGACCCATGAGCATGGATGGAGAAAGTGCACAGAAATCTCTCAACACTTTTCATGCTCGCTTTCAACAAGAAAAGATGAAAGTTGTGAAAGCGGACACTGAGGAGCTCAGACGACGTGGAGGGAGAAAAGATTCACGATGAGACCTCTTAAATTTATTCAAATAAAATCACAATCTATAGATACAAAGTCAAGTCAATCATTGCATGAATATGGATTGATTTGTATACATCAGTAGTGAGCAACACTGAATTAGCTGCTGTTTCTGTTGTGTTTATTGAAGCTAAATTGAGAAGATAACACCACAGGGAAAGCACGCAGTTGAGTTTTATTTCTCCAGTGACATACGTCTAAAATATATAATCATAATGATAATAACAAATATTGCAGATGGGAGGAGACTTTATTCTTGCATCTGCTACCAAATGTAAATCCATGGGTGCTAATTGCTACTTTCAGTCTACCAGGTTCTCACAGTAGAATCAGCTCTTTCTCTCCTTACTCTCACGTACACACGAGAAAAACACCTTTCCTGCCTTTTCATACACAAATTGCCATGTTCTAAAAGAAAGCCAGAAACCTTTTTTTTTTTTTTTTTTTTAAATGCAGTTCCACTTTCAAGACTTTATGGACTTCAAGCTGCTGTGCTAAAAGCATCTTGTGTGAAAAATATCCCACAGTGCACTGGTTTACATCTGCATCACAGCTGCATCCCATAGCCTACACACACACACACAGCATCACAGTGATTCAGAAATGTGCTGATTTTGTTGAAACCTGGTGAATTCCAGGTCGCATGAACTTACTGTGCAAAATTGAAAATATGAACATGTGACTTTCACACCTCTTGAAGTGGTCTATTGCAAAAGCCTTTGATAGAAATCTGACTTTAGAGTAAACTGTATTACATTACATCCTGTTCCTGTCTTGATCCTCCCTGTTGAAGCTCCTGTTATATAATAAAGACACTGTTGAAGAGGAAACCTCAGAATGTAAAGAGGCTGGTGATCAATTTAATCATTTTCAGGCATTAAACACCAAAAATCTGCTGGTTTCATACTTAAATATGAAGACATTATTTTGTTTCAGAAGACTTAGAAATCATTTTAGGCTCTGGGAAACTCTGATTGTTTCTTTCACTTTTCACAGGTCCCATATTGTATAAAGTGGGATTTCTGTTGTTATGTTATCTGTTATCTGTAAAAAAAAAAAAAAAAAAAACTGACATCTTGGTAATTCAGTTTAATTCCAGGTAACAAAGTGAGGCAGCAGCTAAAGGCTAATGCTAAACCCCTTCTTAAAAATTCCATATAGTATAAAGTTCTTTAATTATAAAGCAGGTCTAGGTTCTGTATTAATACTATGAAAGTATCAAAGCGATCAGTCCACAGAGAAATGCACACAGCCTGTATTCAGAAACTGAGCCTTAAAACCAGCCGTCAGGACTTCTGGAACTTTGTGATGTCACAACAAAGCAGTCACCACTTTCAGCCCTGCCCCAAGCCCCGCCCACCTGGACCCACCTTCCAACCTTACAGGATTTGGTTTTTAGAGTGTGTGTTTGGAGTGTTTTACCTGAAATCTGCTATATTTTTATTGGATCACTCAGAAAACAGTCAGCCAATCAGAAGAGAGGATCAGAGCATCCTCTCTTCTGATTGGCTCTCCGACCTGTTGTTACTAGAGCTCCAGAGAGAAGCCTGAGAGAGGAGATGTAAAACTACTGAGATGGTTTTTGGTTCTTAAAACACAAATATCTCTTCTTATGGATCAACACTTCAAATCAAACACTGGAGAAGTGTCAAATATGGAACTTTAACTAGAAAATTACATTGTATATAAATTGATAACAATTGTTAGTTGCAGCCCTATGAGGATATTAAGTCAGGAAAATATGGTGTAACACCTCTGAATACCTCTGAACTGATGCCAAAATTTCACACTTTCAGTATGAGTATGAAGCAGCAGGGAGATTAAGGGGAAAAACAACACCAGTGAGTTCAGAGGAGGTTGTGTTGCTGCAGTAACATAAGGGTCATGGGGTCACACAGGCCGATATCAGACACACAGATAAGCCAGCTCACCTCCAGGACGGGTGCAGCTGTATCATGGATGGACAGGATGTGGGTGATGTTGTGCCGTGCCAACAGCTCCCTGTCTCGTGCATCTGTGGATGGCAAAGAAAATCAAGAAAGTGCAAATACTCCCACCATCCAATCAGCTCATATCATATAGGGTCTTACCTAAATAAGGCAACAACACCCCCACCCCCCTACCCTCTTCAGATGTCTCCCAAGCAAATGTGGCTTTATGGCTTAAAAGTTTTGCTCTTGTTTTGAACTGAAAGAAAAACCGGAAAACCAGTGTTTCTAAAACAGTCCAACAGCTTGTCCCAAAAGCAAGAAACAGTAATAGTTTTAATCAAATTTTGTTCTTTGAAAGGAAGCCAAATGTTTTCTACCTTGGACAGATGTGTCATGAACACTTTTTCTCATGCTTTGCAAGTTTGCAGGATGCTGATGATACCACCTACAAGACCAAGATGAGTCTGTGCTGAAGCCTCCTGCCAGCTAAATAAATTAAAGTGATCCTATTTCATCTATCATTTGTATATAAACTGTGAGACAGAAATAACAACATTAAAAAAAGACATCTGAGTAGGCTACAGGAGTATAAAAGCTCAACACCCTTGCAGAGGAAACACAATCTCAAGTCACTGTAAGCCAGTGACTTTAAGGTCACACAATGACACAAGTCCCCAAGTGTGTTGGTCATGAAATAAATATATTTATTGGCTGTCAGGGTGCTGATATCACATTGAAATTGTTAACCGAGACCAGTGGCTCTGTCCCACAAGGTCAAAATCCAGCCGCAACATAACCAACAACAGAAACAGCACAACTTATTGGCTCCTATATTAACATATAAAATAACAATAAAGCAACAAAAATATGATAAAAATAGACAGCGTGATAGTCAAAACTACATTTACTAAATTATATTTCCCATGCTGTTGTCTGTTAATATGCATTTTAAAAAAACTGACATTGTGGTAATTCAGTTTCATTCCAGATAACAGAGTGAGGTAGCAGGTAAATCCAGTCAGTATGCAGAATAAACACTCAGCTAATGCTAAACTGCTTTTAAGCTAAAATAACTTGAATTCATGCATTTTGGTGTGGTTAGCATTTTTTAAATCACATTTAGGTAAATAGATGTTATATTGATTTCAATATACAGTAAATATTTATAGTAGGGCAGGTAGACATTCATCATGAACTATGGAAGTTTAATTTCTTAAAGGTCCCATATTATACAAAGCAATTTTTAGCCAATCGATTAATTAAAACTACATATTTGACACTTTTCCAGTGTTTTATTTGAAGTGTTGATCCATTAGAAGATATATTTGTTGTTTTAAGAACCAAAAACCATCTCAAAGTAGTTTTACATCTCTTCTCTCAGGCTTCTATCTGGAGCTTTAGGAGGCTCTGAGTCTCTCTTCTGATTGGCTGACTGTTTTCTGAGTGATCCAATAAAAACATAGCAGATTTCAGGTAAAACACTCAGAGTACCCAAATCCTACAAGGTTGGATGGCGGATCCAGGTGAGCGGGCCTAGTGGCATGGCTGAGGATGGTGACTGCTTTGTTGTGACATCACAAAGTTACAGAAGTCCTGACAGCTTGTCTTAAGGCTCAGTTTCTGAATACAGGCTGTGTGCATTTCTCTGTGGACTGAGCGGTTTGATACTTTCACAGTATTAATATAGACCCTGACCTGCTTTATAATCAAACAACACATGGACATCTACCTTTAGACTATATGGGACCTTTAAGCAAAATAGATCAAGAAGCTGAAATAATACATTTTGGTCATATACTGCATGTTCACCTTGGCTTCTCTGAAGATCATCCAAAAGCAGTTCAGCTATCTGCATTTGTAGGTGTTAACCAGGTTACATGGAAATAATTATTTGAGGTAAAATGGCATCACAACTTTCTTTATCCATAATGCAGTCTGCCAGCGTTGACCTCACCACTACATGTGTACAGAGACAGAAGGTCCATTATGTTGTAAAATATGCCAAGTCATTATAAAAGATAACCAGACACAAGGTTTACATGGAACGTGTCAGATTTCCTGTTTGTAACTGATTCCTGAACAAGTTTATGTGTTTTTTGTTCCATGTTTACAAAAAGTGGTCCACATTCTTACCAATTTCCTGTGTTACGTGTGTACACAGATTAAAAAAAGCAACCTAATGATTGCATTCGCTGCTGTATGGAAATGTGTAGAATGAAGTTCACACTGGGGACACCCCCACACCGCGGGGTATCCCCTCCCACACCAACCCTCACGTACTCAGCAGCCGTCAGAAATAATGTTTCCTCCAGCTGCTGAAAGAGCTACACACCAACCCCCGCAACACACACACACGGCAAAAAACACACTGTAATCGTTTTTTTTGTAACATCAAAATACACTACTTCAATCATGCTTCTCTACACTGTGACCTCTCCACTCTATAGAAACTGAGCTCAGTGTAGCATCTCACCACATGCCCCTCCATATGAGGAACTGAAACACACTCTACTACGTTATCCTGAAAATAAATCAATTCTTCACTGAAGTGACGATAGGCAGGACAACGTACCTTTGAAATTTCCCAGATAAAGATCAGGCAGGACCTAAAGAAAGTTTAACATTCAGTTAAAGGAAGAATGTAGGAGTTGGAAACGGGAATGAGCAGGTGTGACAGGTAATAAAAGTTTGAATGTTTTTGTAGAGTTAATTCACACGACTTGATACTGTACCTTGTTTATTCCATTACCCATGTCAGAGCCAGAGGTCTCAGGATAACACCAATAAGTTTAGGGCAAATTTACTCAGACTGCATCACCAGGTGCTCCAGCAGCTCCCGTCAGGCCCTCTCAACAAGAAGATAATCTGTCACAAGCTATGACTGCGTCACATCGTTTTCAAACCACCCCTGATGATTTCTTTGTGTGAGCCAGGATATCATAAAGCCTTCAACGCGTACCTCTGCTCATGCAGTGCTACTTCATTGAGAATATGCGGCTTGGAATGACGTAATGTGACCTTAGCAGTGGATCACCCTGCTTGGATATTTATATTTAGACCAGGAGAGGGTCATGGGACTGAGGATAGGCACATACCAACCAGACAAAGATGGTTCGCGGGCCAGAGGGCAGCAGAGAACAGGCCTGGCTATCACTATCTGCTGAGGTGTTAAACCCTACAAGGAGCACCTCTGAATGAGGCTCTAAATACATGCAACTTGCAATAAATCTCAATTTAAGGAACAGTCTCAAGGTATATATGACGGGGCAGATGTCTTAGAAGAATTAGAGCTTTTAGCTTAAAGTATCAGTCAATTCTCGGTGGATGCCCATTTGAATCCTCAGTCACTCTATTTCCAATAAGTTCTGCAACATCTTTGGAAATTTTGCTCTGAGTTGTTTGATGTATTTTTTACATCTGCACCAAATTTTGTGTCATGTAGTAGATGTCAAGATATTTTAATAGGTGACCATGAATGTGTGTACTAAGCAATCATCACAATATTTGTCAAGCTACTTGACTCATGGTGGAGCCAAAGGAAAAGTCTGGGGGTCATCAGAACCCAAAAATATTCAACTTGCTGTGAAATAAATCAAGGAAACGCTGCAATTCTTCACATTTGATATCATTTTATCAGCTCATGTAGTTTATTTTGTCTGAAAACTATGATTTCCCCCATTTAGCTTAAATTACATGTTGATTCTCAGTGGACGTCCACTCAAACCTAAATCAGTCACTGCATTTCCGATAAATTCTGCTGCATCTTTGAATATTCTCTGAGGGGTTTGATGTATTTTTATATTTGTACCAAATTTTGTGTCAGTTCACATAGTAGATGTTAAGATATTTTAATAAGTGACCATGATGGTTGTACCAAATGTCGTGGTAATCAATGACTGTCAAGATTATTCTACTCCGAAACAAAAATGTCAACCTCATGGTGGAGCCAAAAGAAAAGTCCGGGGATCCCCAACCTCAGTAGGGTTCGTCATCTGAGGACCTTGAATGCTTGTACAAAACTTCTTGGAAATCCATTAAATAGTTGTCAAGTGTTTTCAGACTGGACCAAAAGTGGTGGAAAGACGAACTGAAAGACCGACACTACCATCTGTAGAGCAATGTCGCTGGCTACAAATCCCCAAAATATTAAATTCATTATATGACATTATTTTCGAATTGATTCATCATGACTTCTTCTAATTTTAAGAGTCTTGCTTATAAATTTGATTGTATCTCAGAACTAAGAATTCCCCCCCCCCATTTATTTTAAACTGTGTGTGTTGATTCTCAGTGGATGTCCACTGGAATCCGCATCAGTCACTGCATTTCCAGTAAATTCTGTTGCATCTTTGACACATCGCTCTGAGGCGATCGAGGTATTTTTAGCCCGGCTTTCTCTGTCTCTTTGTCTTGTGTTCCTGTGTGGTTCAGTGTGTGGCACAACTCAGATGCACTGACAAGCAGAGGGGAGTGGAGGCGTTTACAAAAAGCTGCCTGCCTGTCAGCCTCAGAGAACTAGGTCTGAACAGCTCATTGTGAACCCATTGATAAACACACACACCTCACTCATTACAAACAAGGGGTTGTTCATCAGAAGATCACTGTTTGTGTAGGTGTGTGTCTCTGTGTGTGTCTGTGTGTTTGTGTGTGTGTGTGTGTGTGTGTGTGTGTGTGTGTGTGTGTGTGTGTGTGTGTGTGTGTGTGTGTGTGTGTGTGTGTGTGTGTGGGTGGAGTGGGTGGGGGATTGTTGTATAGAAACTAAAGGATGTGGGATGTTAATGATTTGTCTTTAAATAGAAGAAGAGATACTCAGGAGTTACTTTCAAATTGATGTCAGTTTATTGTTGCACCCAAAAGATATCCACAGTAAAGTCTACAGAGATGTTTTTTTATGAGTGCAACTAAAAATTATTGTCATTTCCAATTAATCTGACCACTATTTTCTTACATTATCAATTAATCGGTTTGTCTGTTGAACAACGAAAATAATGAAAAATGCCCATTGCAAGTTCCAAACTTGTTTTAATCAACCATCAATTCACACCTATGCTATTTCTACAGTGATATAAAACACAGAAAAGCAGCAAATCATCATCACATCTGAGAATCTGGAACCAGAAAATGCAGCATTGCTCTTTGGATTGGCAATGCCTACTGGTCGGCCCACCACTGACTAGTTTTCATCTGATGCCACCATGAGGTTGATATTTCTGTTTTTGAGGGAAACAGCTTGACAAATACTTGATGGATTTTCATGAAATTTGCTTAAAATATTCCATGTAACACAAGGATAAATTAAGGATATTGTAGCCTTTATTTGACAAAGGACAGCAGAGATGTGGCAGGATATGAGGGGAGAGAGATGGGAACTGAAATGCAACAGAGGCCCCCAAGAGTTAGTTCAGAGGACTAACAGGGAGAGCTCTCTGACCCCAGACACGATTAATGTCACCGTGTATCATAACATATCATACTGTACATGTCATTGTGTCTCAGTGACTATACATTTTTCTCCATGCATAGCCCATAAAAAACATGAAATATTTCCTTATTTGGTGCAGTATCAGTGTTTCATTATAATTTCCATATTTTGTCACCTTCATCAAATGTGTGACCAGTTCGTGGAAATTGAATAAAAAATATGTAAAAAAAAAAATATTTTCCATTCAAAATAAAGGGGAAAAAGAGATAAAGTTTCTGATGTGGAATTAATTATAAATTAATATTTTGCTGGGTTTCAATGGAGCAGGTCATTCGAGGATATTCCTCTGCAAATCAATCATTACCTACAGAGAAAAAAATCACTATGAAACTTTTTAGTAAAACGAAGTGTTACATAAATATTGGGCAAAGTGTCCAGTAATAACTAAAATCTTTAGGTGAATGTTGCCTTTCGGTTCGTTTTCGTACTTTCGCTTAAATTTTTTGTCAATAAAGTCGACGCGGAAAGTGCCAAAGTGAATTCAGCTTCCTGAACTCCCTTTAAAAAAAAAACTTGCAGTGCAGGATTAGACTACATGTTCACTCAGTAGGAGACTTTGTTCAATCTTTAACCGCACAGGAAGAGACCTGCAGCGGGGACCCTCCGAGAGAAATGGCGTTGTTTCTGCTAGGAGGACGTTTGTTTAAACGCAGAGGCGACATTCACAGAGCCGCGACAGCGATCCGGCCCTTCATACTCTGGTAACTGCCTTCACTGTGTTCACTGCGACATCTGCACGTTTAACATGCACGATTTTTCAGACGCGGACTTTTAACCGCGGAGAGCTGCGGTAACGAAGCAGGAAACGTCTGCTCAGCTTTTAACAACATGTTCGTCATTCTCTCAGAGCTGCTTGAAATCCACTAGATGGCGCAGTATCTCCAGCCAGTGCGCTGGTGAACCACGTGCACGAAATAACAATACTGATATCCTTCAAATGTATTGGGAAACACCTTAATCACACTTAATTACTTAATTGTAAATTTATGATGGTATTTATCAATATCATTATTATATTGTTAAGACTAGTGGTATTATTTTAGTGGCTGTAATTAGTACTAGCCTATTAAATTGTATATTTTTGTTTAGTGTCCCACTAATGTAAGATCTTAAAAATGAATAAAACGCCTTTTATTTTAAAAAAAATATCATAATTGAAGTATTTGGTAGTTGTTAAGATGATAAACCATTGAAATAGAAACCATACATTCAACAATTTGATAAATCTACGAGCCCTCACAATGAAACCTTTTCCAAATATGACAATAAGTGTCCTTAAAATCTTCAAAAATATACCATCATTATGCTTTTATAGGTGTAATGTCTAGCATGGAAAGAATTGCATCATTCATCAGGAACAGGTTTAAGTGTTGGAGGTACTTTTTCCTTTGGGACAAAAAGTACATGTCTTTGTAAAGGAAGTAATCATAATTAGTGTTTCACATTTTCTGTTATCACAAAAAAAATCAACCATTGCATTTGTTTATTCATTTTTATTTATTTAACCTTTATTATATATATATATAAATGGCAGGTTGGCTCAGGATAGATGCATATATAGATAAAAGAAATTACAGAGACATAGTAACAAAGATGGACAGACACATTTAGAAGATGTAAATACCTTTTTTCAACTGTGACTGCTGTAAAAATGTTGATTCATACCATGACTATACATTGAATCACCAACTTTCATTATGTGCAGAAGACATTCTACAGGACAGTGAACTTTATTTCTTGAAGACAAATCAAAACATCCTACAGAACCATTCAAATTTACAAGATCTTACCTTGCAGGGTGTGAATGACTCTGTGGGATATTTTGAATGTCTGCACAATATCTGCAAAAGTCCACAAGACTTGTTCTCAGCTGAAGACGTTTCCTGCTGTCACTGTGAGTGCAGCTGCATGTTTAATGAAAGTATCTCTGCTGACATGTTCGGGTCAGAGGATGCGCAGCGTGAGGAATGTTTAACAGCAGGTCACACTGACCTGGAGACAGAAACTCTGAAACTGCCACAAAAGGAAAGTGTGTTAGTATAAAAACAACTATAACCATACACAACCAAATAAAGGGAACAACAATACTGACCAAGATTCAGTCACAATCACAAAGAAGTTTTAAATTTGAAGGCCAGTGAAAAGAGAGATGTACTATATGATTTCTTGGATTGTTAAAACAAATCAACCGTTTTTTTTTTTTTTTTTAATGTTTGTTTTTACTGTGACCGTCAGCACATACAGTAGCTGCTCTTCTCTGTTTCCCTGCAGCTCCTCCATGGCCTCAGGCAGGCAGCATGTTAACGGAGTGGATCTGTACTACGAGCAGACAGGGAGAGGGAAACACGCTGTGCTGCTGCTTCCTGGTGCTCTGGGTAAATACAACAACATTCATCCTCCTAACGTCAGAGACGAGACATTCTGTCAGATTACAGTATGATGCCGTCCTCTTGTGAAAACCGTTCTGGTCTTTTCTGCCACAGGAAGCACGAGGACAGATTTTGGTCCTCAGCTTA